TTTTGTCAAATATCTAATTGAAAAGTGTTTGGCAGGCCAAATTAAGCACTATATTTAACAATAGTACCTTTAGCCTTGTCACATATTCTGATACCAATAGAGGGTGCACTACACTGCAGTTGGAACATACTTTTAGTAGTAACATCAAGTGTCAGTTGTACTCCACGCTAGTGGTTTTAAGCCAATTAAAATTCATAATGCTGAAAACTGTAGCTTACATTTCCTTGGAAAATATGATTTGTACTGTTAAGGAGGTTTCAAAGTTAAATCGCAGACATTTAAAAGGTTACTTTCCCCATGAAAACTGCAGGCATTCATAACATTATAATGCATAAAGCACCATCAAGAGACGCACGAGAAGGAAGCTATTCAAACATACGTTTGGTGATTCTCAGGCTTTTTGGGTAGTTTTATTTACGACTTTGTTTCAGCCCCATATGTGGGTGGCACTGTGGCACAGTGGGCAGCATTGTGGGTTTTGTAGCACAGGGGCCCTTGGTTAAATTCTGAACCTGGGGCTCTATCTGTGTGGAGTTTGTATGTTCTCCCCATGTTTGCATTGGTTTTGTCCTGGTTTTCTCCCTCATTCCAAAAACATACTGGGAGGTTAATTGGCTTCTGGGAAAATTGGCTTTGGTGTGTGTGTGTGCCCTGTGGCGTCCCATCCAGGGTGTATCCTGCCTTGTGCCCATTGCTTGCCAGGATAGGCTCTGGCTCCCCAGCAACCCTGAATTGGGAGAAACAGTTAGAAAATGGATGGATGGCTTATTTTTCTAGAAAAATAAGCCATTTTTAAGTAAATCTTTTAAAAAAATCTTCAGTTTGATAAAGGACCTATATGATGCATTTATCCAAGAAGCCAGTTAACCTATGCTTATGCCTTTGGACTATTTGTCGAAACCAGAGTACCTGGTTTTGTTCCTCACAGATAGCTCGTCCCACGTAGCTCGTCCCACGTAGCTCGTCCCACGTAGCTCGTCCCACGTAGCTCGTCCCAGCACATGGCACATAGAACCCCAGGAATTGAAACCAGGGTCCCAACACTGACTGGCAGCACTGCCAACAAACGCATCACTGTACTACCCATCATACAGTTTATACAGGGGGTCTCCTCAAAGGGCCCCCACTTTCAAATTGGCAAGTGTAAATATGTTCTTTCAACATATAAACTGAACCAGCCCCTTAGAATTTTCATGATACTTCTATACTGGCAGCGTGATTAGTTTGTATTATTTGTAGCCATTTCTTTTTTTTCTGTCAATTTGATCCTCCCCCTTTGCCATGTATGTCAGGGGTATCAGATAGCTGCTATGTTTCTATTTTCAGAGCAGTCTAGATGACAGAAAAGCTACGCCGAATAACCTACAAGATACCATGGAGGTGTATTTTATTTTTCCTTTTTGGTTCTTATAAACACAGGTGACAGCTCATTGCACTAATTTCCATGTTTGTTGTTTGGATTTTAGCAACCTGATCTGCTCAGGTCGTTCAGTGACCTTGTTTTGGTGTGAAACAACAGCTGAGGACAGACTCAAATGAGCGTTAGAGGTTATGTGTTTTTAAGTGTTGTGCGTTGGGGTTTGTAGTTTGACAGTCATGTTTTTTGAGGGTTTTGCTAAAATCTTGGCGTGTAGCTGTAGCAGGCAGGCAAGTAGGTGTAAGTCTGACTGATTTTATTTCATTTGCTTTGTAATCCTTTGCTAAAATGGACCAGGTTGGGTTGACCCTTACAGCTGTCTTCATTCTAAGTTGCTAAATTAAGTATCTTGAGACTTTCTATATCAGGGGAGTGTCGTTGGCTGAAAAGGATCGAAAACACGTTACTAAAGACCAAGACTGATGTATTTTTCTTTTCTAAATTAAAACCAGGTAGGATCAAGCTGTGTGTGCCTTAAATTTCACCAAGAATCTAATTTTAATAAAGTATTTTTTAATGTTAGGCACTGAGCTGGATGTTTTACAATTACACTCATATCATCATGGGGAAATGGAACTATTATGCCTTTAAGTAGTGAATTTGACATTTGTTCTGCCATTTTGTATGGTATGTGAGAACTTGGGTTGAGTTACATAAGGGGTTTTGTACATCAGATTTGCATGGCTCATGAGGAAAATTTGCCTCAGTTACTGATATACTGATGTCTTGGTATATCAGATATCTCCTGCTTTATGATATATCTTACAGCACTTATATCCCTTTGATGCTGTAGTTGTCATTTTAAATAGATTTTTGTGTTAAAGAGATATTACACTTTTGTTTTCTAGCACATCTAAAGTGCCAAATTGCACTACATTTGAGACTCAATGTGCAAAACACTTAATGTTTTTAGAAAACATTTGTTCTGACATGGGGGTACAAAATCTTCGTCAATAGCAGGAGAAAAGATCACAATCTTTGCAGTTTTACAGAGTTTTATTTTCTTTCTCATGTCATTCCCGTTGGTGTTGTGTTTTTTGCAGGTTGTTGAGCAGGGTATGTTTGTAAAGCACTGCAAAGTCGAGGTATATCTCACAGAGCTGAAATTGTGTGAAGATGGCCACATGGACAACGTTGTAACAAGACGATTTAGCAAAGCAGACACAATAGGTAAGAGGGATCTTTTGCGAGGTATGGTGGCATATGCAGTATATAATGTCTGTGTAAGTTAGAATAAATTCAACTTTCTGTAAATCTCCAATAAGCTGTTTTAGAGGAAAATTGCTGTAATTTAAGTAGTGTATTTCTCGATACAATTACCATACAATCAGATAAGAATAGAGAATAGTATATGACTCTTAAAGTTTACATTTAACTCTTCAAGATCTGAAAGCAGTGGTAACAGATTAATTTGGTGAAATGTCGATTCAGATGAAGTCATTAAACCCCAAGTGGAATGGAAATTAGACACTGCCACTACCAAGTATGACTTGGTACTGTAAGTGCCCTGTAACAGATGCTACATTGATGACAACTACAGTTGTCAAATTCGGACAGATTTCTCCTGATACAACTGACAAAAACACATCCAGTAATAATGGTGCAGACCTTTAAAAAGCTCTAAAAAGGTCACGACAAAAGAGATGGCTGAACATTTTTCTCATGTTTAATTTCTTATGACCTGTTTAGAACATTTTTATGTGGTACAGATTTAAAGACACTAATGCTTGCATGAAAATTCAACAGCAGTTGCATTTCACTGACAAATACATTCATATTCTACTAAGGAAATACCAAAAAAGGCAAGAGCCCCTTTGTTTGATATGAGTTATGAGCTAGAATTTAGAAGTATGAGTAAAAACACTTCAGAAATGCAGTTCTAGCTTTAATCTCTGTGCCAACATGGCGACTTCCAGGACTTTCACAAAGTTCGATATTTTTGCCTCATTTGAAATGTATACATTTTTTTCTATGCCATCAATGAGATTTAATAACCAATCTGAGAAATTGGGACTGCAGTTCCCTTTTAAAGACCTCTTCTTGGTAGCACACGCATGATTGCAATTTCTTTCAGCGCAGTTTTGTGTAGGCAGGGGTCAGCCACAGGTTATACGCTAGAATGTTCATCCCACTTCAACAGGTGTATAATGAGATAGATTCATGTGAATATGAATGCCAGCCTCTATGTGGCACCTGCTTTTCGGATACAGTGCCTGCCAGTCTGTGCTTTGTTGTTTTCATATTAGTTAGAGCTACATGTAGATGTGGACTCACCAGGTTCTGTTCACATACACAGGCGTACCTTACTTGAATGGACCCATACTGTTCTGACCTGGGAACGTTCTTGTTAGAAACACTTTCAGATGATGAAATTACATTGGTTGTTCACCTTGGACCTTTACTTAACTTTGCCCCATCCATTATCCTTCTGAAGGCCAACAGTGGCAACGTAACTATTAATCCGGGCACAGCATCGTTGACATTTCAATTTCCCGATTCATCATGTTGGATAGCACTTCCGAATAACTGTAATGGAATGTTTCTGGGACACTCCTGGAGCGTGCCCGAGTCACGCCTCAGATACATTTCATGAAGGTGTGGTGCAGAGCGTGTGGTTTGGCCCAGTTGTAGGACTGTAAAAGCCCTCTGAGCACAGCAAAAATCTGGTAATCTGCTAAAATCTGGAAATTCAACTCTATTGCAGTAATAAGGCTTCAGGTGGTGATGCTAAGGCTTTGTTAATTTTTATTAGCATTAGTACACAGACAACACCCTTCATTTATACAGAATATGGCCAGACAATGGTGACAGTCAACTGAGTGGAAGCAGGTAAAATAATCCAAATAATATGGCCTCTGAATCATTATGCTGTGTATTTGATGAGTCTCGACAAGGGCTTGATCAAACCTGTTTAGCCCATCGGTAGCGTGTCCAATTCCACCTTTTCCAACTGGTGTTTAAACACTATACCCATCTTCCCTTGGTTTGCATTCTCAGTGACTTACTACACACTTTTGACATTCTTAATAAAAACATACCTATTTTTTAACTACTCAAGATCATCTTTGGATCTAGGGACCCCTTTTCGAAACACTCATGAACACTAGCGTGCTCATAAATCCCCCTTTTTTGGGCTAATATGTTTGTTGGAGCATTAAAAAGCAAATTAATAAGTTTTGTCAGAGAAACGTTTCTGCTCCCCTTTAAAAGACAACCAGGAGTCTGTCTCAGAAGGTAATTTTTTTTTCCCATGTGCATGGGAGAGAAACACACAGAGATGCTCGGTGTTTCTCATAGAGATTACAGTCCTTAAATATGTTTCTGTTATCTATCACACTACCCTGTGCTTATCAGATTGGCAGGATTCCAGAATCACACTCATCTTCATCTTCCCTATTTGCCAAAGATAATTTCTTTAAACACAACTGGTTACTTAGTTTTGCAGCGCGTGTTCCAATATAACAGAGTATAGAATTATATTAGTACTGTAAGTCTGGCGTGCAGCATTCTTCCATTCCAGTTCAAACTACTAAAATACCTTCTAAAAAACCGCAGTGTCAGCAGGAAAAGTGTGTACAAAGTTCATGAAGACCCTCTCAACAGTTGTACGTAGGGGGATATCCAAGCGCTGAGATGTCATAATTCCCAATAACTAATACATTGGAAATGTTGTTTGTTTTTCAGACACTATAGAAAAGGAGATGAGGAAAATGTTTAGCATCCCCGATGAAAAGGAAACTCGATTGTGGAACAAGTACATGAGTAACACGTTTGAGCCTCTCACCAAGCCTGACAGCACTATTCAGGACGCTGGTCTTTACCAAGGACAGGTAAACAACGCCGCGCTGCATTCAGAAAGCGTTTTGCATGCTTAACTGGTCTGGCATTTGCTTACAGTCTCAGTCTCATCACGTATTAGTGTGAAAAACGCTAATGGTAATTAATGCTTTGCGCTAAGGGAAACCCAAGGCTAAACTTAACTCCAAAAGCTTACTACACAATTAATAGATATTGCTATTTTAGGGTTTTGACTGTATAAGATAAGAAGTATTAACAAATACCATTTCTTAAAGTGAATGGAAGTTACATTGTCATGCATTAGGTCAAGTAAATCTTGATGGAACGTGACACTAATTGTGGCAACAAAAAAGATCATAATACTAAATACCGGCGGCATGGTAGTGCAGTGGTTAGCATTGCTGCCTCGCAGTGCTGGGGCCCTGGGTCCAATTCCAGGCCTGGGGTGCTGTCAGCATGGGGTTTCTATAGTATGTTCTCCCCATGTTCACGTGAGGTTCCCCAGGGTGCTCTGGTTTACAGACCAGAGACATGGTGGTACGTCACCCTGTGTTTGTGTCTGTCTGTGTGGACCCTGTGGTAGACTGTCGTCTCTTCCAGGGTGTGTCCCACCTTGCGCCTACTGTTTGCTGCAACCCTGAATTGGATGAAGTGGTTGGCAAATCTGCTAAGGAACTTTTAAAATAGTGTATTTGATATAAATAGTGTATTTTAGTGTATTACTAGCCAAACACTTTAAGCATGCAACCTAGGACATACAAAGATCGCGGATTTTAATACAGTACTAAGTGTGCAAGCTGAATCAAACAAGAAAACACTTTTTTCCCCATCGTTGAGAGCTAGCTAGCCAATTTCAGAAACAATTGAACTTTAAAGGTTTTTCATGTCATTTGTACCTTGGAAATAATGCGTTCTTTGTTTGATTACTTTTTCAATGCACTGTATATTATAGTATTCACCCCCTATCAATGGTGTTCCAATTTACTGAATTAAGATAAGCTAAGCTTTGTCCCCTAGTGTGGAAGTCGTATGGAGACACGTTGCTTCTGTACATCTCATTAGACACGTCAAACATCGAGGCTATCCACCACTATTGCACATGCATAACTCATTGCAAAAAAAAAAGCCCTTACCACATGTACTGTAGTTGTTACAGCATAAACAGCTTATACTGATCCAATTGCTATGTATTTGTATAAACGGTTTTAATAGATAAGGGAGCAAATGACTATTTTGATCTATTTAAGCTACATTTGGGAACTCTAAAATGTGTCCAGTGGAAAGAAGTTGATATTCAGAATGAAGGATATGAAAAGGATCCGAATGTCCAATCACGAATTGTTCAAAAACTGTCTTCAAGGAAGAATGCTGCTTCACTTTCATAACCTTCATTGCTGTTTGGACAAGATGGGTGATTTTTTATCTTAGCTGGACTGATAAATTACCAGACCAGACTGTTATACCATATCTAATAACGCTCTCGATTACAGCATGGTAAAAGAGGAGCTCTATTTCCTGTGCAACTCCAAACACTCTTTATCTGCCCCCCAAAAAACAAATCATTACAAATAGTGCAAACATATTTCGAAAAGTGAAAATATTTAATGAAAAAACAATGTTCAAACTAAACACTTTTGTGGGTTAAATGATAGGGAAAACTGCAGTTTGCATACATAGTGGGAATAGTAAGTATTTTGGGGGAAAAGTCTACCAATTTTGCACCTCATTCTGCTGTGTAAACTTACTCAAGCTCTGTCACATTGTTTCGGGGTCGTTGATTGACAGCTATTTTCCTAATTCTGACGCAGATTTTCAGTAGAATTAAAGTCAGAATTTCAGCCCTTTGGTTTGAGTCATTGTCCTGCTGAAAGGTAATTTTTTGTCCATTTGTGGTTCCTTTGCGGACTGAAAGTGGATTTGCTCTAAAATTTGCCTGTTCTTCGCTCTGTATATTTTCCCCTCATGGTTCCCACGCCCTGGTGCTGACATAACATAATACTGCCACCATCATGCCTTTACAGCAGTGATGTTGAGGACTGGGTGATTCTTTGCACCCAATGTACCACTTTGCATTTAGACCACAAAGTTCCAATCTGGTGTCATCTGAAACAAAACCTTTAGCCACATTTGCTGTATCACTTAAGTGGTGACTTGTGGACAACTCCCACTCAGCTACTGAATGCCTTTGCTTTTTCAGAATTAGTCACGCAGACTGACTAAGGGTGGACGGGTACGACTTCCAGTTCTTAATAATGGTTGAATCTGTGCCTGACATTCCCTGCCTGACCGAGGGATCTTACAGAATCAGACATCTTGTGAATCTCTGTTATTCCACTCAGATCATTCAACAAATGAATTGTAAAATATTTTTTTGCGCCCCTGAACAAATTTAGGTTTGCCATTGCAAACATACAGTACTCGTAGCAATCAACATACAGTTCTTGATTTGTCCTCCAGTTTTTGCGGATATTTAACTTCTCTTAAAGGTTTCAATATGAGCATTCAGGTTTTGATTTCAATTTAATCATGCGTACTTATTATTTAAATATAACATGTAATTCAGCAAAATGGGACATCATTGGAAGAGGGCAAATACTCTTCTGTTTGGGCATGACGTCTTACAAAACTGTACATTGCTCTTGTCGTATTTAATATTTCTATTTAGTTTTGTCGTGTATTAATTGGGAATTGGTATGTGTCAGTGGGATGTGATGGCTATCCGTGACTACAGTCATAGCTGTTGGTGGAATAACCAAGCCCGGAGAGGCAAGTGAATGAGACTTATGTGGTCCCATTTAATTGTTTAGCCTTCTGTATGTGCCTGGCAGTTCACTTGAGGAATTCTTCTTAGTGTGAACGTAGTGTGCTTTGTCTCCATTCCCGTGATTGTATTTGTATCTCTGATAATCAAAATATTCTATTAACTGATGTATAATTAACATACTGTACAGTGTGTTACTTTTTCCATTGTAAAAACCTCGGGTTGTTTTTATCTCTTCATGTTTGCCATTCCTAAATTCCCATTTCTAATAGGCTTGTTTTTTTTAAAACAAAATTGGTTCTTTCCATCTGTGTTTGTTTCTGTTTTGGACAAATACCTGTCTGAGTTTTTTAAATTTAAGTCACAAAAACAAAGTGTTTTGATTCTCTTGCTTTGTACCAGACTTACATTTGAGAATATCCCCACTGATAGCGATGAATGAAAAACAGTTCAGCAAAGCAAAAAAAAATCCTTATTGTTACAGCCATAATGGGTTTTGACACCCAACTCTTTTCGTTTAGACATTTTAAAGTTAATGAGCATTTACCATTAGGCTTTTGCACAGTTGACCAAAATGACTTCTGTATAGGTCTGACAAGGAAGAGATAGAATTGCAGACTATATATTTGTTGGCTCATGAGAAACTTCAGATTGTTCTTTGTATTGTTTGGTAAAGAGGGATTGGCACATGTGCGTGAGCATTGTTAACTAATAACATATTAAAAGCTGGTCAAACAGCCACAGGGGAAGCAAAACTCGAAACTCATTGAAGCCTTGCATGCTATATGTACCACAATGTTTCTGAAACCAAATTATGTCAGTATTTACTGTCAATGAGGGAACTGGTTCGCCTAGTAAGAGCTCAGCTCCACAAAACTATGAAGCCAAGTAAATTGCAAACTGTTCTGGACTGTTTGGACAAGAGTGAAGGAGATAGCTGTGTTTTTTTCAAGAACAGTGGTATGTCGAATGTGTTTGTTTGGACAATTGAATCTAAAGTTGTATTACTTTATACGTAGTCGTGTCCAGATTACTTCATGAAAAATGAAGTCATGTCTGCTGTATGCCGTGTTGGAACACTGGCTTCCATTCTGTCTGAGCAGACAGCAGGGCTTTGTGGGAAAGACAATATCGCATTTGTAAGATCCATATTGTAATGTAAACATTCAAAAAAAATTCAAACAAAATGTATTGGCTTTGCAAATTAGGACCTGATTTAGCCTAATTATTGCCTAATCGGGAAAAGCCTTTCACTGCGGTTTCTGGTAGTTTGTCGTTAATTGCACATCAATTGTACCTGTCAACAGAGAGATTAGGCCCTACATATACAGTGGCAAGAAAAAAATTGAAAGACAACTGCAGAGTGATATGCTGTGAAAGGTATTTATTGCTTAAGTTAATGTACATTAAATGTTTCATATAGGCTTGATCTGTTTCTAAAACCTCCCACCTGCAGCAGATGAGTTGAAAGGCATTCTTGCTTATTTAGAATGTATCTGATGCCATTTTCTCAGATAGGTAGAGACTGCTTTTGTATAACATATTGTTTTTTAATGCACTATTCAAAACAGCCGAATTTGCTATCACTTTATTTTCTTACAGCTAAAGTAGCTTGAAAGCACTGATTTCATTCGCAGAACTCGGATTGCCCAAGTGATCCCGTTCCTGTACTTTCTCTCCAGGCCTCTAGGGGGCACTGTTTGTTTGCATGGCTTGTGTGTGTTGCAGAAGAAAGTGAAAATCGTGCCTATTTGGCACAAACTTACAGGAGGGAAGACCATGCAGCCTATGGCTTTGCTAGCTGGCCCTGGTGTGTGAAAGCAGAGCTGGGCTTCCAGTCACACGAGGTGGCCTTGCAAACTTATTTTGGTGAAGTTTACAGTTTATTTGCGGTAGAATCTTGTCTTTTCTTTTGCTTGTCAGTCTGAAAGTAGATTTTATAGTGTATTTTTACAGAACGTAAGCTGGCAAAGCTTTCGGTTGTTTGACGTTTTTGTGCCAACTGTAGGTTTGTACCCAGGCTTATTTTGTGCTGGTGCTTGTAGGTCTATAATGGATTCCAGGTTCCTCAATTTCAGTTATTTTTGATTGGCCTGCCAGCTTTTTACTAGCTCATGAGCTAGTATGTTGTTTATTCAGCTTAAGACAAGGTTGTTCATGGTACAATGAGAGATTGCAAGATGACTGTTCATTACTCCTGTAGTCCACTGCTTCAGCTAACTTTGACCTTTTCTTCATTCGCCAAAATAAGTAATTTGTTTTAATGTCATCAGCTGGTTTAATAGACAGCTTCAGGATTTCAAGAAAATTAGTCATCTCCTAAAAGTAAAAGTAATTTTGTTTAAGCCATGAAACAGCACTCGATCCTTACAACTAGTAACAAATTGTTCCACTCTGTAGCTTTTCAAGGTGGGTGAACGTGCAGAAAATATAAAAAAACTGAACGTGAGGAACTGTCCATATATTGTACCTGTTGTATTTAAGCTCAAAGTGAACTGCTTTCCACAACTGCGTTCTCAACACAGATGAATGCTTGTGGAAGATTTATGAAGTAATGATTTCCCTTGCAGGTTCTTGTTATAGAGCAAAAAAATGAGGATGGAACGTGGCCGAGAGGTTCTTCAGCAACCAAGTGAGTTTGTGACTGTGGTTTTGCTGTACAGCTTCCAACATCTCTGAGGAGACAAACACACACATCCGTCCAACAGAGTGACACTAATTGGATTCACATCTGGGATACTGTCTAGGTCCAGAAAAAAAATAGGTTCTTCCATTATACATAGAACTAGATACAGTGCAAGGAATACATTTTCAGTGTTTTGGGTTTATTCTTATTTATTAATGATGGTTTGACCCCAAATACAGCAACATGAAATTGTTAGTTTATCGGACTTTATTTTTTTAAATCTACGTGATTACAACTTGTGGAAAGACCAGTTGATCCGATCAGTCCACAGTCAAAACCAGCTTTGACCAGACACTTAAATCTTTGTTTTATTGAAGGAAATGGGTTACTAATTGGCAACAAAGCCTGGATGTGTTTCTTCATTAACACTCTGAAACGAGTCTGCAGTTACCCTTAATGAAAAGGAAGTGAGCCTTGAGTGAGGTTGTTTGCTCTGCCCGCTGTTTATGGTGATTAACTTAATTTCGTAACTCCCATTTAGACTGTCCTACACTAGGTCTCTGAAAATGATGTTCACTGTTTCTATTAGTCTTACGTCCACCACTGTTGGTTTTCTTTTCGTTTTAAATTCTGCTATAGTGATTGCCATTTTGGGGGACATTGTTGGGTATAATTCCAAGCTCGTAAGCCTATTTCTTGGTTTGTCCAGACAAACTGGTTAGAGCACTTCAGATTGATTTGATTGGAACAGTTCATGCCTGCTCAACATCCTGTAAGTTCAGCCACACCCAATCCACAATTGTGGGTAATGCAAAAGATTTATATTGTATTGATCAAGGGAGCATTTAAATATATTGATCTCTATTGCGTTGGACACTCTGTAAGCATTTGTAGTGGAACACCCGAGAAGGGAGCTTACTTCTCAAAATGAAACCAAAGTGGTTGACAAGTTCTTAGTTACAGAGACAGAATTCCCACTGAAGTTCCTACTCTAGGATTGTCAGGTAAAAGATTCATTTACCTAGGGTTAATCAAATAAAACATAGCATGAGAATCCCGATATATCTGAGCATTCATTAGCAGCATTACATCATATGTGGACTGAGAAGGTTTTAGACAGGTTTTATTTCAAAAAGAAGTTGGGTCTTCCTGAAACCATTATCTCCATTTGTTGAAATTAGAATTATGAAGCAGGTGTGTGGAATTCATGAGAGACAGGTAAGAGACCATTCTGGATCTTGGCGTGAGCCAGACCTTTACTGAATAGGCTCAGATCTCACAAACTTTAGAAGTAACTCATACATTTTCCTGTTAACGGTTGGTTCTGATCTTTCTTTTTTGTGATATGACAAGAAGGGAACATGAGTTGATACAGCTCATTTCATAGATATCAAGGTAACGTAATATGAGATTGAGTAAAATGAGATGCGCACTGGAATGTACAGGTGGAAGTCACCTGTCTTGAGATGGTAAATTGCTTTTTTTAGCAGTTCTAGAAACTCTTGAAAGATGATGAGTTTCTGTCATACACCATCAAAAGTATTCATTTATATTATGAGAGCAAGATTTTTTGTGCAGTATTTTTAGGCTTAAGGATTTGATAAAAAATATAATATTTCCAGGATTTTTTGTCAATGAAATACATATTGGTTCCACATTATCAACAGCATTTCAAGCAGTTCAGCCATCGGATATTATTTGGACACCTTCTGTTCATTGATGTTTCACCGGTAGAATGGTTTCCTCATTCAGTACAGCAGGGAATAGCAGTTAAATGTTAGATTAATATATTGGATCTCCCTGTTTGACACCACCTACCAAATGTAGTGTTTTCCACATATTTTGAAATAAAAAATCCTAAACGTTTTTTTGATTTCTTGGTTTATTACCAGGGACGTGACCTAAAAAAATGTACCTTATTTAGGTTTATATCTGTAGGGAGGTTAAGTTAATTCCTGGAAGGCTTTCCTGTCAGTCAGTACCATGCATAGATGCTCTAATCTAATCTAAATTGTTCCTTTCTTGTTGGGGTAGCTTTCATGAAGATTTCATACTTTTCAGTGCTCAGTTTGGCCCCTGAACGTTCAGTATTGGCTATAGAGAAATAGAGCCAGATGATCTTCATGTGTGGTGGCTCTGTAGCCTTTCTGATGTTCTAATGAACCCAAATTCTCAGACAAAGAGAAGCCGTTTAGTGCATCTCAATCCTTTTATCAGTATCCTTCAGTCTGTGGGACATGAAGCTGTTTTCTAGTGTTCCATTGGGATTTTCCAGTTTTCCATTGGGATCTCTCTTACAAAGCTGTTGTATACAAAAGTGATCAAATACTTTTACATAACAGAATAATGTGGAAATTATTTAATCACTTCTGTAATGCGTTTTGAAATTCAAACTTCCTCACTGATGTTATGATTTAATGATTTTTGAAAGGTCTGCAATCAGCAGTCGTTTTCTGTCCGACATATTCGACCTAGTGTGGAATCGCCAGTTGCTTTAGGACCCAGTTCTGATTCCCAGACCTGCTGGGGTAAAAATAGCTCCTGCAGACATACTCCTTTAACACAAAGGCCTGCAGAACCATTCGTTGTCATGTTGCAAGCTCTATAGTGCCTGGCAGGAGATTTAGTGCCAACATGGGGGAGTGGTGCATCTTGTACTGATGTCCATATAGCCTGCAGGTACTGTATATCACCCTGCAGCTCACAACTGGCAGCCCCACTGAAGTTCAACAGGTGTGAGCCTGGCCAGTACCTGGATGGGAGACCGCCTGGGAAAAACTAAGGCTGCTGCTGGAAGAGGTGTTAGTGGGGCCAGCAGGGGGCTCACCTTGACGTCTATGTGGGTCCTAATGCCCCGGTATAGTGACTGGGACACTGAAATGCAAAAAGGCACCATCCTTCAGATGAGATGGAAAACCAAGGTCCCGACTCTCTGTGATCATTAAAAATCCCGGGGCATGTTTCTTGAGGTGATTTGTGGGATTAACCCCAGTGTCCTGCTCAAGTGTCTCTCTAGCCTTTATAACTCATCGCCTCCTCATAATCCTCGGGTATGAATCTTCACTCTGCCCTGCTCCCCACTGATAGCTGAAGTGTGGTGAGTGTACTGGCGCACCTTGGCTGCTGTTGCATCATCCAAGCTGTATATTATTTTTAGTAGTAGGAATGCTAGACTGCAAGAGCCTGGCAAGTTTCAGGATTGCTACCCCTGCCACTTCCCACTCCCACACACTCAGTATAGATGTGCCAGTATAGTCATCTGGTTCAGTATAGCCTGCACTTAGAGCTAAGGCCTTTTTTGTTTTGAGCCACCCAGTAGCCCCATAACTTAGTTTTTTAAATTGGGTTTTTGCCCCTACCTTTAGCCTTTATCCTTAAAAGTGTAACAAGAAATCGAACAAGCTCGCTCTACGAGTCACCTGTACCAGATGATCTGTGGTCTGTACGCTAAGTTACCAGAGCTTTGATAATGATGGGCCTGTCCAGGTCGCTTGTGTGTAAGAAGGGAATGTACCCAAAAAAAATAGATCCCTCTGTCACCCCATCTTTCATTTTCCTGAACATTTGCTGTGACGGCCCCTTTTCTTTTCATGAACTTGTGTGAACGAGCTCTCTCACCGTCGACATGGCTCGAACGACGTCACTGACTGAACATCTTTATTATTTCGAAGGGCTTCAGGTGCCTCCAATCTTTCAACTTTACCAAAGATCTCGCCTTCATCTCTCACAAACAGTTATGCCAGCTTCAACAACAGAAAGTAAGCACCTGTCAGAGCCGGCATGAAGGGGCAGTGTGATTGTAGTGGGCCACCAGCATGGTTTTTACTTTTGCGTTCTACAAAAGCGCCGCGTTGGTCCTGGAGTGTAAAACCGAACATTGCCTGAGTTGGTGTTTGTGGTCCCCTGCTGTCTTTGCGCGCATGTTGATAGTCATTCACATTGGTCTGGGATTGTTCTCACTTGCCTTTCAAGTGTCTGCTTGCTGTCTATGTGTGACTTGTGTGTGTGGATTTAGTTGTGTCATACATAGTGCTGCAGCCAGCATGCATCAGCAGGCATGTCCGTCCATATTTTATGTTTTCTTTCATGCATCTGGTTTGTTTTGGGATGTCAGAACGAATGCAAGGAAGATCTCTTTTTTTTTTAAGGTGTGAACAAGCAAAAATCTAAATATCAGTTGGTTGAACATGAGCAGGAGAGTAAAAAGGTCCTTGACATCCTACTTCTGGATTGCTGGCGTTACTGTTTTCTACACAATATTATTTTGTTTTGTTTTTTACAGTATTTAAAAGTGTTGCTGTCCCTGTGTTTCTTGATTGCGGTTAAAATGTAAGGGCAGTATCTTTTAGATCACATAATTGAACTGAAATTTGTCTTGAGTTATCCTGTTCTGGTTTCCTTATCTTTCCTTTGGCTTCTGTAATAAATAGTTTTTTTTAAACAGTACCACAGAACATTTAACATCTATTCATTGGAAAATACTTTCCAGGGTATGTCCTTTGAGATGAGAGAGCTAGAATTTGAACATGTCCTTTAGGGTACCAAACTGCTCAGTCACTGCTCAGATTGTGCAACTCCCTCACTTCATTCATCTGTACAGACTATTATACTGTCTGATGTTTTTTTACATCCTAATAGTTTCATATTGAACAGAGTTGGTATTATGCTATTGTGCCCTGCTCATTAGTAGAAATTATTTTCAGATTGAGGAGCATTGTTAATATTACGCCATTATGTTGACACGCATTTCATCTAGATTTTAGTCTTGAGATTTTCTGCCTTCAAAAATGAATTTTTCGGGAATCTGCCACAAGGCCTGGTGATCTGAAGTAAGGAATGATCGATATCTGCAAACCATGAGATACACAATGCATATTATTAAATGTTAAGACACCAGATTCAATTATAAACCATGAGATACACAATGGTTTATAATTGAATCTGGTGTCTTAACATTTAATAATATGTGATAACATTAAATATGATTTATGAAACCTAAAATAAATGTAATGGCATTATGACAATTTAAGTTACAGGATTACACCTGTGACATTAACATAAAACACAACAGAATTTTTGCAGAATAAGTAGTTTTCCTGCCAGATTGGTCATTTCTCAGCCTGTTTCTCTGACACCTGACACCATATCCTGGTCTCTCTCTCTCTCCCATCCTACTGAATATTCTCTGCAGTGCCTGTGACCTTCAAAGAATATTTATTTGCCCTTCTGCTCAATTTATATTAGAGGCTGCCATAAAACCGTAGTGTGTTTCGTAGAAAAATGCGACACATTTAAAATTTGGCTGGATGCTTTCAATTTGCACCTTGTTTCAACTTTGTGTTTAGCTTCATAACTGGCTTCTGCTGAGAACCCACAAAATAAAGAGCTAAGTGGAAAATATTTTCTCTTATTATGTGGGTTTACAAATGCACTGTATAAATCACCGGATGTCAGGCAGCCTTTATTTTAGGTTGCAAGATGCCTGAAAAATGAGTTTTCCTAAAGGCAGGGGGATGCAGAGATCTGGTATTCCCGGCTCTATGTTTGCTCATTTTCTCCCTCTGCGAGTCTCTCATTCCGTCACAGGCTTGCCTCCTGCAAGGCAGTGCTAGATTATGCTGTCTTAGCAGTACAGCTATAAATAGAATCTTTAGTGCATTAGGACAGTGATGTCACACAGGCCTCGAATTCACAACAGTCTCACCTGTAACCGAGGCACGCTCTTTTCTCCACTTCTGGAGTCTCTCAGCTGGGACTCTTTGATTATGTTAGGACCTAAAGAGAACTGAAATGAGATGCTCTTATGCTGCTGGTGGTGCCTAAAGTCAGAATGTTTACAGTTAGATGGCCGGAGGGAGAACAGAGTAGGCTGTGAAGCCACTCCTCTAAATCAATGGTAGAGATCTTTGCACTGTTATCTGAGGTCTGGTATTCAATCTAGGTCTTTTCTACTGTGGTTATCACCATCTTTGGATATGTTGCCTTGTTTTTTCCATGTTCTCAGCCGAGTTCTGCTTCCTGCATCACACCTGTCTTTGTAATGCAGATTTGCCGGTGTCCATTATTAATAGTGTTGTGGTAAAATGGTTGAATGGTCTTAAACAAATGTTCTGGTACATGTCAGATGTCTTGGGTTTGTTTTAGTTAATGGGTTTTTTTTTCCAGGCCTTCATTGAATGTCAATTGCCGTTTTCCTTCTTTTTGCAGTGTAAAAAACTCAAACTACTGTATCCCGTCATATCCTCCATATAACAGCTATGATTACCCAGAGCCAGGAAGACACAATGAGCTGCCTGGCCTGTGTGGCCTGTGTAACTTGGGGAACACGTGCTTTATGAACTCGGCAGTCCAGGTAGGTGTTTTGGTCTTTAAAGCCTCCGAGTTTCTGACTTAAACTGCTACAGTTCTTACCTTTCTTGTTCGGGGATAGAAACCCAAAAACGGTGATAATTCATTGTAAAATAGATGCAGAAAATGTTTGAATTTTTCATATTTACTTGACAATATTCTGTGGTCATCTAGCAAAAGTAGAATGTTTATGTTGGAATTCACTTATTAAATGTCCTTGAAGGAAGAAATTCTTTAGGCCCAGGAGGGATTTGCTAAATTACTTGGTTTACTTGTGATTATGCCAGTTTTATTGGCATAATATATTAAAACATTCAGCAGGCATAGGATTTTCCTGGAAATTTAGACCAAACCAGACTTCCTGGAAAGTCTATCACATTTGCCATTGAACTGTAAATCCCTTCAGCGTGAGTAGAATTCAGCAGATTTCTGAAGTTACCAGATAATTACATTTGAACTACTGAAGTAGTAGCATGTTTTATATTTACTGTAGGTGGCAAAATACATCCAAATGTCTCATTTTAGTTTTCGTGCTTATGTGTCTTCCTTTTCTGTGCGGACATGAGAAATACCGTAAATCTCTTTTTAGGGTAGAAAGGTATTTAATTCGAGCTTTGGTGCAGTGTGTTTGTTGCATTGCAGAATTATTTGATGTCTTTTCTCACCCTGTTTTCTTTTGTTTCTGTGCAGTGTTTAAGCAATATACCTCCGCTCACTGAATACTTTTTAAAAGACAAATACCAGGAAGAGCTAAACATCGACAACCCTCTAGGAATGCGAGGCGAAATAGCGAAAGTGTATGCCGAGCTGATCAAGCAGATATGGTCAGGAAAATACAGCTATGTCACTCCAAGGCCTTTTAAGGTGCTTTGTTCTTTTCTGTTAATATAATGCTTACCTTAGAGGTTGGAATTTATTCCGTTTTGTTAGGTGTTGACCCAAGGGGTATTATCCAGTGTATTGTGTTGTGTTTATTTTGTGTTTTGAATTTGCACTCATGTTACAGAGGATCAGATTATACAGATCCAACACTATTATTATGAGTAGTAGTAGTATTCCTTATACTTATATAATGCTTTTCTGGACACTCCACTCAGTGTTGAAGCCAGTTCAGAGATGGGGATTATTAGGAGGCCATGATTGGTAAAGGCCAGGGGGAAACTGGGCACCAAGGTCCCCTCCTCTTTTTGAGAACTTCCTTGGGATTTTTAATGACCAGAGAAAGGACGCCACAGTGCCTTTTTACAGTATGGTGTCCCCAACCCGAATATTGTACGGGGATGTTGGAGTGAAACACGCAATACTTTCCAAGTGGACATATCACAAATATATAACCCTTGTTTGTTTTGAACACTCAACAATCCAATCTGAGAAGTGCCGTGTTGTAGTTTTTGGAATTCCTGGTTAAGTGTCAAGTAGCTGATAGAAATGAGTACATGAGCACACAAGTGTATTATGGGAAACAAAAAAAAAATAGCACTAAAATATAATGGCCAAGTAAACATCTTTTCAGTTACAGTAGCTTGTTTCATGAGTTTTCAAAGTGAATGATTTACCTGGGAGGCTTCATCAGCTCTGCCAGTACAATTATATTGGCTGAGGACCTGCGATGAAAATGATTACAGATGTGATGTGTCCAGTTGCTTGCTTGGGAGGGGGAATACCGTACCTGGTTTTGAATCACCTCACTCGATCCTGTCCCGATGAATGCAGGCGGAGACTCCTTCAGGTGGTCTTGCAATTGTTTCACATAGTTTGCTTCTGATGTTCCTTCCAGACGAATACTTTTGTTTGCATAGGTTTTCGTTCGGAGAGTGTCACACGTTTCCACTTTTCGTTTACCACACCTAGCTTGTAGGGTCGGTTCTCATGTTGGCATTGAAAATACACCCAGATCGGTGAAAGCAAACTCGGCATTTTCATTGCAGACTCAAGTTGGCAGGTTTGCACCTCAGTTTTCAGGATACCAGCAGCAAGATTCCCACGAGCTCCTGGCCTTCCTTCTTGATGGATTACACGAAGATCTTAACAGGATAAGAAAAAAGCCCTACATCCAGCTCAAGGATGCAGAGGGGAGGCCTGATAAGGTGACCTTATGTAAAATATTTTCATTGTATGTAACATACGGTGTGGGGGCTCTGTGGCTAAGAATCTGCGCCTGTGGCTGGAAGGTTGCCGGTTTCAAAGAGGAATCCTGCTCCCTTGGGCCCCTGAGCACGGCCCTTAACCCCAGCTGCTCCAGGGGCGCCGTATAAATGGCTGACCCTGTGCTCTGACCCCTAGCTTCTCTCCCTGTCTGTGTGTCTCATGGAGAGCAAGTTGGGGTCTGTGAAAAGACAAATTCCTAATGCAAGAAATTGTATAGGGCCAATAAAGTAAAATAAATAAAAAGGTTGGTAATTACATTCCGTGTGGTTCTACAGATTGTTGCTGAAGAAGCCTGGGAAAATCATATAAAGAGGAATGACTCCATCATTGTGGATATATTTCATGGGCTCTTCAAATCCACGCTAGTCTGTCCCGTGTGCGCCAAGGTCTCCGTGACCTTTGACCCTTTCTGTTACCTGACACTCCCTCTGCCCATGAAGAAAGAACGGACTCTTGAAGTCTACCTTGTGCGATTGGATCCTCTCGCAAAAATAATGCAGGTACAGTTGTACACCTTCCGGTCTTAATCTTGATAAAATGTTTGCAGAGTCTTTAGCCTGTTGTGCTGTTGCTGTATAATAAATATGTGGCGATTTTGGAATATTTTTCTTTCTCCTTCATCAATTCACCCACCATTAACTAACTTCTTGAGCACCCAGTGTCTCTCATCGATCTACCGTTACTAAATTAGTGCTGTAAAGGATGCAACTGTCAATAAAATATAGCAATGGAAAAGACTGAAGAGGAAGTGAGAGATTATCTGTTAACGCAGTCTGTTTTCTTTTGAAATCTATTCTGTCAATTGGATCTGAAAATGTTCTTTGTAGGCAAGAAGAAACCGTTTTTTAAAACTGTCCTGCACTTTCTGGCTAAAGCTTATTAATATATGGTAATGCTTCATCAGGCATAAATAGACATAATTCTTTTTCTGTTTTTTTCTTTTTAGTACAAGCTTGTGGTACCCAAAGTTGGGTACATTTCTGACCTCTGCACTGCTCTCTCAGCTTTATCAGGTGTACCTTCAGACAGGGTAAGAACTGGCATTTTTACTCTGGGTGAAATAAAGTGGATTTGGAAACCACCTCTTTTTAATGTAACTCTGCCATGTTTCCTTCTAGATGATTGTAACTGACATCTACAACCACCGATTTCATAGAATATTTGCTATGAATGAGAATCTAAGTAGCATCATGGAACGGGATGACATTTATGTGTAAGTATGGGAGCTTTTGTGCTTTATTAAGGAATTAAAGGCTACTGCTTAAAGATTAGGAATCGTAAATTAAAGAAAAGGGGATCTGACGCCTGTGTGTGTAAAACTGCATCAGCCGTAGTGTGTTCTGCGGATTTTCTTGTGGTTATCAGCTTAAGATGTGCAGTTATTTGATTTTGGTATTTTAATGCCTGTGCACATTTTACGGTAGCTCTGACAGAACAAAAGGCTGTTCTTTAGAGAATGCTGACTGTTTCAGATTTAGAATTTACTACTTTGGATTTTTAATCATCTGTATCTCATAAAGGAGCTGTTTAATTGCTGCCAGATTTGGAAAACCTTCAGCTCCTCACGGATTAGGAGAATAATGCCTTCGTCTTTCGTTCACATTGCTGTTTTTTTTCCGCTGAAGGGGTTAGGCAAGGGAGGAGGGAGACAGGGAGGGAGAACTGCAGTTTTGCTGTGATGGGTTGGTGCGTTTTTCCCGGTTATGTATTGTTTGCGTTGTGCGACGAGATGAGTGTTTTGTTTTTTCTTGTTCTGAAATGCTCTGTCAGCGCGATTTCTTCCAAAGTTTTTCTTCTTTGTAGCTTTGAAATAGCCATCAATCGGGCCGAGGACACCGACCACGTTGTCATCCCTGTTCATCTGCGGGAGAAGTACCGACAGTCAGGCTACAACCACACCAGCTCGCCTTTGTTTGGACAGCCATTTCTGATCACTGTGCCACGCCACCTGAGTGAAGACAAGCTCTATAATATGCTGCTCATGAGAATGTGGTGTGTGCCTACTGGATCTTATGGTTATTGCTGATAGTAATTCGTTCTCCACCATTGTGATCAAAGGGTTGGTGGTATCATGCCTTTTATGTACTTTTAGGTCATTCTGTCAGATGATCATTTTTCTGGGGGTGGTTAGGATTGCTGCCTCACAGCACTGGGGCCCCGGGGTTCAATTCCGGTAGGGCTATCTGTGTGGAGTTTGTATGTTCTGCCCAAGTTTTTTGTGGGTTTCCACCAGAAGCTCCAGTTTCCTCCCACAGTCCAAAGACATGCTGGTAGGTTATTTGTTAAGCGCCTTGGTGCAACCTTGTTGTGAAGGCGCTATATGAGAAAAAATTGAATTGAATTGAATTATTTGGCTTCTGGGAAAATTAGCCCAGAAGCTTATTATGATTGATGATTTTTGGAAGATTAGTTCAGACTGGCGTCCCATCCAGGGTGTACCTGGCCTTGTGCCTGTTGCTTGCTGGGATAGGCTCTGGCTCTCCCACAACCCTGAAATAGAAGAATCAGTTAGAAAATGGATTGATGGATTATTTGTCTAGAAGTAAATAGATGACTTTAGTCTGTAATTTAAACACCGATAATTTATATACAATGTTTGGTGAAAAGAAGAAGGATTTATTTATTAGTAAATGTGGTTCTTGAAGTTCTTATTTGGAGCTTATCATTAACATATTGCGACATGTTGCACTTTCTAATATTCTGAAGACATTGATTAAAAGAAAAGCAGCCATGTCGGGTCAGAAAACCAGGATCAAGACCACAAACAATAAACAGAAATACAAAATTGCAAGATTTTCTCGGTAGATGAAAGGTTATGCAGACTAAAGCAAAAAAAGACATACAATATGATACTGCAACATGAGGCTGTCAAGCTTCACAGTACTTAATTCTCTGAAGAGAACATTCTTGTGCCCTAAAACTTTGAAGAAACTCCCAAATATGCTCGTCTATAGCAGCTGTGAGGCACAGAAGTTTGTAACTCAAGCTTCAGTTAACTTTCCTCTTCTTTTGTAAACTTTTATGTCTCAGCATTATTTGATTTCTTTGCGATCGAGAAAATGTTAACTTTGTCTGACACAGACGTTTTGTTTGAAACCGTCCTACAGTCATCATAACATCGCTGGATCATTCCATTTAGTTGCAGAAGCACTTAAAGCCTAGCACTCGCTCAGACGTAGCAAAGCTGATTTCATTGGTAGCCAAATACAGAAACGCAAAAAAAATACAGAATTTCACTTTCAGCAGTTTTCTGACATCTTTGGGGAACAAATGTGAAAGAATTTTTTTTTTTTATCAGCGAATACAAGTGACCCCATTCACATTTCCAACAAAACATTGCTAGATTTTATTGTAATTATTCTTAGATAACAGTAAAATATATGAAATTTTATAGGAACAGATTATTAATGTTGGGGGGAGAAAAGCAGACGTATTGGAAGGCAGCTGCAGTTGCAATTTTTGACATTTCTGGTGAATACCGGGCATGGGTAATGCCCGGAATATTTGTTTTCAAGAGATTGTGCTGTCAAACCACAGCTCAAGCTGTTCTGTCAGGGACGGCCTGAGGCGTGGCAGCGAAGTTTTAAAGAGAGGAATGTGTTTTTGTTACAGCCGCTATGTTAGAACCTCTCCTGAACACGAGGAGGTGGAAGAGACCTCTTGTTGCAAAGACCATGGAATCAACAGCAATGGCACTAATGGTTTACTTGAGGAAGGCTCTCCGAGTAAGTGCTCTTTCTCTCTCCCGTTCAAGCTCCATTCTGAGTGGAATGGTTCAGTGTAACAAGTCTTTTAAGTTCTCTGACTTTTTTTTTTTTGCACTGCCTGTAATGCCGACTGCACCACATCCCTCATGATTTGTAGGGCTGAACTTGTGAGGTTGTACGGCTTTCGTTTTGTTGTCTGAGCTTCTATTCTGTTTAGGTAGTGCGCTTAACACCTCTCTGTACCTAGGTACCTCTGTACCTAGACGTGTGACCAGAGACCAGAGATCTGGTATTCAGGGGCTGTGCAGCCATTGTAAGGCTGAAGTAGAAATTCAAGAAATTTAAGAAAAAATTAAAATGTCCTTGGAATGGTTTTGGGTAATTGAAAAGCATGAGCCAGGTATTTTTTTTGTTGTTGTACATTTTAGGACATTGGAACAATTGTAAATGAGAGGAAGCCATTCGGCTAATCTGGCCTGTTTGGTAATTAGTAATTAATTGATCCAAGGATCTCGTCCAGCTGTTTCGTGAAGGAAGGAAGGGTTTCAGCTTCAAAATCATGGCTGTTGAGCCAATTCCATACTCCTTCAGGGTCCTGTTGTGTAATATTATTGAACGTGGTTCAATTTAGAATGCTTTAAACCGATTATTTGATGAGAAAATCCTTCAGTTTTGTTAAATACCAGTGGGATTGTTTGCAGTACATCAAGACAATAAATGCAGGTGGTAAATGGAATCCAAAAACAGAAAAGACTTTCTGTTCTGAAATCTGGAACCTTGGGTAAACGGCAAGGGGAACATGGTTTCAGGTGTTTTAATAATAAAAAAGGAAAATCGCCAAAAAAAAAGATCCTGAAACTTAATGAGCACTTTTTTCGCAACACATCAAAGAAAACACCACAGAGAGAATATATATTCACTATATTCACTATAATTATCTACTGTAATGGTGGAAATTCTTGCATTTTCAGAAAATGATCTAAAAAGGGCAAACTATCTCTAATATCTTTAATGTGTTTGTGTCATTTACGTTAAGTCACAGGTCATCATGCTCTTTTCTCTTTGACTTTTACTCATTACTTACACCTTATTTACTTATTACTCCTTCAGTAACACTTAATCATTCATGACCCAAGAACTCCAATTTTGGAGTTAGACAGTGATGAAGCCAGAATGAAATTCAGTGATGAAACCGGAATGAAGTCTTATGTATTATGGATCTTGCAAAGGCTTGGGTCTCAAGAGATAACTTGTCGTCTTCTCTGTTTATCGCCACATTTTTATCCATACCCCTTCATTTGCAGTACCTAAACTTTTGTTGTTGTGCTGCCAGGGGCTTTTTTATGTTTAGAGTTGGGTATTAAAATTTAGAGCTGTGCTAAACACCTGCATTAAGCAGATGTGAATCTACAGGTAGCTCATGGGTGAATTTAGAGGTTTGGTTCAAGATGTGGTAATAATACATTGTCATCCACAACTAAATCAGAGCTGCTAGTACTGTATATACAAAATGTGTTAACAGTATCACATATTTGGATTCCCAAGTGGTTCCATAGAATCTGCCAGAGTGGTTATTTTGGTATTGGCTATATGTCACAAAATAAATGTGCAATAATGTTTTGCAAGGCATACACTCAGTAAAGAGACTAGAAACGCAAACAATAAGATATTTGAAAGCTTTTGTTTTCCTGCAATATTTTAAATGCATGTGCACTTTCCTTTTAATGCACAATAGAGATTTGCTTCGAGTAACTCCTGTGAACTGTACTTTTTGGGGTGTTTTAAGAACTTTTTTAAGTTCGTTTTTGTGTTATTTTTTTTTTTTTTTTGCTGTAATCAAAGCATTTCAAAGCTTCAAAGTTTTTCTCCAGCCTTTATCTCATGACTGTTAAAAGGAATATTGAACTACGTTTCCCTGTTTCCGTTGAGACTGGAACAGTCAAAAGATTAACACCAAGCTAGAGTGATGTCAAAACCTTTTTTTCTGCTTTTATGCTGCATGTCTGTAAAGAATGATAATTATATATCATTTATATTATATTATTTCATTTTCCAAAGTATAGGTGTTTGCATCCAGCTTCTGAGGATGATAGTTACGCTGAAGTTTTTCTTTGTTTCTTTGCTACTGTTGACGTATAATGGAAATGACACAGAAAAGACTGATTCCCTGGTCAAACTGCAGGTGAGATGGAGACGGATGAACAGGATGACGAATCCAGCCAAGATCAGGAGCTTCCTTCTGAAAATGACAACAGCCAATCGGAGGAATCTGTAGGCGGAGACAATGATTTGGAGAATGGGATTGGTCCAGAACAGATATGCAAAGGCCAACAGTTCGTGGGGCACAAAAAACGACTTTTCACATTCCAGTTTAATAACATGGGGAAAACGGACTTCACCTACATCAAGGAAGAGCCCAGGCAGATCAGATTTGATGATGGGCATCTTCGACTAAGTGGTGAGTGTGTTTTTTAAGTCTAAAATTAAAGATGATGTTTTGGTTTTCCAGGCTTAGGTGAAACTTTAAGTAAAAGAAAATGATATACAATGCCTTATGTTCAAACTTCTTTTTCAGACCGAAATATCGGGTAATCAGGAATGCTGTTATATCTGTGGGCAGGTTGGATATGTGATTAATTCCTTGTGGGAGGAGAATAAGGACTTTGATGTTTTAACACCCTGTCAGTGTTTGTTTTTTAACTAGACATTGCTAGCCATTTGTCCAGTTTTCCTTGAACTTCACAGTGCTCAGCATGAAGATGGGATTGCAAGCATGTGAATAGCATCAGGGAAATCAGGTCCTGACTAGGTGGCACTGCATTAATGTTATATGAGCCCTCGCATCCAAAAACTGAATCGGATATCAGCGTGGCCCTGGAAATGGCCACTGTCGCAAATTGCGCCTTTGGGCTCGAGCAGAGATGCTGTGATTTACCTGATCCTTCACCTCTTCATATAGCCAGAAAATAAGATCAGGAGATTTTATAGTCAACTGAGCCGGAATGCAGTGGTCTGTGCTGAGTATGTGCCATCCTACCTTGAGAGTGCCACATTGCTACAAGGGTTTGACAGGCTCTGCCAGGAGCTCACTATATCATTCGTGTCTCCAAACCGTGTGGACCAGCTTCTTCAAGGAAGCCTGGATCTCTCAGGATTGAAGCTGCAAAACCTCAGCAAACATTAGGAAACCAAAATGCAGGACTGCACACAGCATAAATCGCACTTGGTGAATGCCTGGGCTCGGATGTGACACTGTAGTGGGTCCACAGTCCCAGGGACAGTGAAAAATGTGTCTTCGTCCGCACGCCTCAAAGAGGATGGAAGGAGTTTTGTATGGGCAAGATCAAGATCGAGCTTCGCATTGTCATGGTCTGGCAACTTTGGATAGGTTATAGTGTAAACACTATAAAGAGTGCTCCGTGGAATTTTTTGGGGGGAGTTGCACTAGATACCCCTCACTCATTAATGGTTGCCTAATCAGCGATCACTTTAAAAGGAGTTTGTGTGGCCGACCTGTGGTAGTGAGGGACTGTTCTGGTTTTCGGGAAGTTTCAGAAGAGATGGAGAACAGTCTATAGACAGCGGTGACCATTTCCTGTGGAAGTCTGCCGGTACTGAATAGGAATTAAGGGCCAGCAGCTGTATCACCCTGCAGCTCACAAGTGACAACCCGCTGAAGCTCAGCAGGTGTGCACCTGGTCAGTACCTAGATGGGAGACCTCCTGGGGAAAACTAAGGTTACTGCTGGAAAAGGCATTAGTGGGGCCAGTAGGGGGTGCTCACCCTACGGTCTGTGTGGGTCCTAATAACCAGTATAGTGAGGGGGACTGCAAATATACTGCAAAGAAGGCACCGTTCTTCGGATGAGACTTTAAGCCAAGGTCCTGACTTGAAGATTAAATATCCCAGGGTGAAAAGATTAGGAATATTAACCCCAGTGCCCTGACCAAATTTTCCTCAGGCCTTTACCAGTCATGGTCTCCTAATAAACTCAGATATCTCAGAATTGGCTTCGTTAATCTGAGTTTACTGGTGCACTTTGGCTTTATTCTTATTCTTATTCTTCTTTTTGACTGCTTGATAATTCAGTGTGCTGTTAATACATGTCTAGAGGCATGCCAGCCAATATCCCATTGTGTTCTTGATGTAGTATGCACCAGTTTCTACAGCACCACGTATTTGGTAGTGCTTCCTATTCTGCCAAATGTCCTTGATCTGCGTAATCTGTCAATTTCAAGTTAATTAAGTGAATGGACACAGATTTGAATGCGAGACCTTATATCTACACCCCACTCTTTTCTTTTAACAGATAGGTCATATCTTTCTTTGGACTGGGAACCTGAAATGAAGAGCAAATACTTTGATGAGTGTGCAGCAGAGGTGAGCACGGAGAACCTGACATGTGCTCTGCGGGAAAGATTTTCATTTTCTCTTTAATCAAGAGGCCTACTGTCGCAAAAGGTTCATGAAGCTATAATTTAAAATGGCAAAAAAACACACACCCCAGTCAGCACACCAAACAATATGAAAGTTCCTAAGATGGGCTTATTTTTCTGTATTTCCGGCAGTGACATTGTACTGTAAAATTAAAGGAAGTCTGTTTTATTTTTCTTTGCTGAAAGGACTTTGAGAAGCACGAAAGCATGGAATACAAGCCTCAGAAAAAGGCCTTTTTCAGGTTGAAAGACTGCATCGAGCTTTTCACTACAAAGGAGAAACTAGGCGCAGAAGATCCGTGGTGAGTTCAAACTGCGCCGTGTAGATTTTGACATCTCCGTCGTTCCTGTAATATGGATTTCTTCAAAGGAAAAATAGGAACTATTGCAACGCACGTTTATTGTTGATTAGCTGCATCTGTTAGCTTTTTTACTCCCCCAGTCCTGTTTTTTTTTCCCATATTATGTTGTGAAGATCTTACTGCAGATTTTAATGCAATCCAAAAGGTAGTAGTTAAGAGACTAGTTTAGTCTATGTGACATAGACTGTTATTATAGATAGCCTGAAAATGACACAGACACGACTGATTCTCCAGTCAGGCTGCAGGTGAGATAGAACCTCACCTCTGGACCCCGCAGGGTGAGAGCTCATTAGTAGCCACTGTGTCTTATTTGGTATGCAACGTCAAAAGCTAGTGGTATTTTCTCTAGTAAAACCAACATAGTTGCCATACAGCCGCGTGAAAGCGACTTATCCCTGTGGGACATACGTTAGCTTTCTGAGTTTTGAGTCCACTCCAAATATAGAGAACACGGCTCCTGAGGAAAAATTGCTCTACTAGAAGGTGCTCTACTAGAAGGCTCCACGGCCGAAACGTTGTGTTTCTTCTTTTTTTCAGCTTGTAATAAACCTATTGCTTGTTCCTTTACTAAAAGCTGCGTCAGCCGTAACAAACAGGAATTCTGCAGTTTTCAGGCTTGGTTTTGCACCCTTATCCTTTTTGTAACCTAGGGGAGCAGTACTACATCACATATTGCTGGTTAAAACATCTCCAGTGGCTTCCTTATCTTATATCACGGGTTAAATTGCAGGTTATATACAGGGTGACACGAGGGGCGCGTGTTATAAGAAGCACATTGAATTGCTCTGTTGGGTGTGTTATGTTTGGAGCGCAGTCAATACGTGCGCACTAAATTCAGAAAGCTTTCGCAGGGCTATATGGCAAATTTGTTGCTTTCCCTAAAGAAAATAAGGCTGCGTATGTCAATCTGAGTTCTTTTCTGTCATGAGTGGAATGAAGGCTAAATTAAATTCAGCCTTATTCTTTTAAAGGTACTGTCCAAACTGCAAACAGCATCAGCAAGCCACCAAGAAGCTGGATCTATGGTCCTTGCCTCCTGTGCTGGTGGTGCACCTTAAGCGCTTCTCCTATAGCCGCTACATGAGGGACAAGCTGGACTCCCTGGTGGATTTCCCTATAAGGTATTGAACGGGAGACAGTTCTCTTTTGTTGTATTACAGTGTGGGTTTGATTCAGATCTTTTGGAATTAAAGTGTGGCATGAAGCTCGTTTCTCTCTCATGACTGATTGTCCGCTAGAGTTGCAGTTTTTCAGTTCACCTGGCACCCTGGCAGGTATTTTACTCAAGTAAACATAAAGACTGTATTACAAAAAATATTGTATAAGTGTGTATCGGGCTGAATACACAAGAAATCTTACTGTGACCAAAATCTATAGTAGCAAATACCCCTTTATGAAATAACCATGTTTTAATAGAAGCCAAAAAGAAATGAAACACAAAATGGTGGTACATATTGGTTTATAGATAGTTTTAACACTCGTTTTTATTCCTACACAGTAATTTGGATATGTTGGAGTTCCTGATCAACCCGAATGCTGGTCCTTGTCGTTATGATCTGATTGCTGTTTCTAACCATTATGGAGGAATGGGTGGTGGACACTGTAAGACCTCTTCATTTCAAACTTTTTCGATTTTTTTGTTTGCTTTTCAGATAATCTGGTATCATCACTTTTTGATTTCATTTCCACAGACAAGATTATACATTGTGTAAAGGTCACTATCAGTTTCAAGTGTGTTCTGACACAATCTTCTATATGGTACCTAAAAAAATAGAATATATATGTGTTTTGGGTATTCCTGTTTTTGTTGGTATAGACAAGTAAGTTTAGAAGTGTAATACTGTTGGAAGAATATTGTAATAACTTTAACTGTAGAGATGTGTAAGTCTTAATTAGTTAAGAACAACAGTTGCTAATCATTTTGCATTCCTGGAAAAAACAAATGTATTGCTATTTAGCTGATTGTTATTCCCGACTACCTGACATTACACTACAAAATGCTAAATACACACAGGCTCAAGTTATGCATTTCCACAGTGTAGGTGATGCAGCGGTTGATAGAAACATAGTTTTCAGGTTTTCAGCACTGTTAGTTCAGTTTGTGCAATTCATTTACCCTCTGATTACTAAACATGCCAAATTCAGTACATAATAGTAGAATTCAATTTTCTGCATTTCCAAATTGTGATGTACAGCTAGTTCCAGACATTCATTTCAGCAGTTTGTGCAAAACCCTGACTCCGTTCACTAAACACGAAGTGTAGACGTTGCTGTGGTTGAATATCAGCCTTAGTTACCGTGGTTCAGCTCTTGATTCAGGCTTTGCTTTGTGTCCTCCATTTTGATTGTCCTTGGCATTTAACCTCAGAGAACTGAAGTACAGGGGCTTGACATAATACAATGAGCACCCCATCCCCCCAGAAAATAAATTTTCCAGTTTCCCCCCAGTGCGTCCATGTCCGTGATGTAAGCATCAGTCTTTTCCAACAGCAGCTTTTGCATCAGGATTAACATGAGTGTTGCACATAGCCAAGCTATCACATATTCTACCAGATACTATTTTACTATAATAGCGTCCTAATCTACAGTAGTCAGTCACTAGATGTAATTTGTGCCCTTATCTAGGTTGCCTGTAACATAGGAAGAACTGAAAGATGTGCTAACTATTTGTTTTTATTTCAGATACTGCTTTTGCTAAAAACAAGGATGATGGCAAGTGGTACTACTTTGATGACAGCAGTGTTTCACCTGCATCTGAAGAGCAGATAGTGGTAGGTTTCTGTTGGGTTTCCTTACATAAAAGGCGAGATAATAGATTTTTTTGGTTGTTTCACAAAGCCCCAGATGGGACATGCATTTACAAGGTGAAAATGCACTCAGATGTGAGAATAAAGGGAGATCATCACCAAGTGCCACTAGGGGGTCATGTCACTAGTTAACTGCAATGGAGAATCCCTAAGCAGCAGTGCTTATTGGAAAGCAAGCTTCTGGGAGTAGGATTGCAGTACATTGGTCTTATCCATCCATCTTACAACTGCAGAGCCTATCCTGGCAAGCAGTGGGCGCAAGGCTGGATACACCCTGGATGGGACATCAGTCCACGACAGGGCAGACATATACAGATCATCACAGACACACACACACTCTAAGCTACCGGCATGCCTTTGGACTGTGGGAGGAAACTGAAGTACCCAGTGAAAACCCACGCACAGACAGCGAGAACATGCAAACTCCACACAGATAGCACCCCAGATTTGGAATAGGGCTCCAGCATTGTGAGGCAGCAATGCTAACCACTGCACAACCATGCCATTCCTAGTTGGTCTTAGCTTTTAGCAAAATAGTGATTCTTGTAGTGACGTCGGCGATAGATGCTGCTCCTCTGACTGGTGCTACTTTTTTGCACCATGGGTCTTTCGATATGTCCAAAAATGTCAGACTTTGATGGCTAACCGTGTCCAGAGATCTACATATCTCACTCTCCTCTGTTTTTAGGGAATTCGGGTTACAGTTGCCTCGTGACACAACCCAGGCCCACACTGCAATTATGGAAAAAATTGCCATGTGACTAGCAATGTGAAAATGCACCGTAGCAATTTCAACACTCCCGACCAACCCAATACGTTTTCTGGTCAAACTAACCAATGGACTCATATCAGCCAGTATGGGTTGTAACTTCCATTGATAGGAGTTTCCCTTTAATATCCTATTTGTTGTCGGTGTAATACGCGATTCTTGATAAATTAGCATCACATGAAATGGGTAAACATTCACTTTATCCTGAATTTAAGATTTAACATGCATAAAAACAAGGTTTTGGCGATTTAGTATCCAAAGTGCAGTCTCTAGCATACAACAATACCTACAATCCCTGGGCCACTTCTCTCACTAAACCAGCATTCCCGCCTCTCGCTCCTCCTCTCTCCCAGCCTTTGTTCTCCCGCTACATTACCTTTGCTTACTGCCCTGTCTCTCTCACACCTGAAGAAGGTTGACGCAGCTACCCACCTAAACAATACCTGTTTCCTGTACTTTGAGGGGAAAAAAATCTGTCAAAAAACTAATGTTTTTTTTTTGTGCGTTTGTTTTAGTCAAAGGCTGCTTATGTGCTCTTCTACCAGAGGCAGGACACGATTAGTGGCACTGGATACTTTGCACTAGACCGCGAAGACCAGCCGGCCCCCCCAGTTCTGGGCGCCGCTGCTCAGAGCGACGAGGACCTGAACGACAACGAGAACGAGAACGAGAACGAGAATGACAACGACAACGACGAGCACGATCTCAACAACGAAATCTGTATGCACACCAACTGAGGGGGTGGGAAGGGGGGCCTCCGGAGCTACAGTCGGAGAATGCCCCTCCCACCCCCCTTCCTCCACCGCCGGGAGATATCTGCCCTGACGCCGGAATGTTCCCTCAACAGTGCGACAAGCCAAGAGACACTGAGCAATCTGGGCATTCGGGGTGCCCGTTCCTGTTTCGCTTCCCCCCTGATTTTAGAATGCATACGTTTCTTTTCAATTGTGGACAGATCGTCTGCATCAAGATGCGCTGATAATGATAGCCCGCAGAGCACTTACAAACACACAGGGTGTACGCTGCATACATCTCTGTCTCCGATTCAAAGATGGGGGCAGGTTTGTGCGTTTCTCCCCCCACCAGTGTGATTATTTTACAGTCTCTAGGGGAGGGGCAGGTGTTTGCATATTGCTTTTTTTATTTTTGCCTTGTAAATACTCCAACTGAGCACTGAGAAATGTTCTTACTTACTGTGGTGAAACTGCTGGACTGTCAAACAGAAACTAGATTTGCACAATCACCCCATTTGGTAGGTAATCCAGTGCCAGGCGTACTGCAAATGTTTTACACTCAGAGGGTTTTCACCCACCTTCAGGCTTAGTGCTAAGGAAAGCTGCCTTTAAACTGTAGTAGAAAGTGTGCTTCATCGGACACTGCTGCTCAGTGCTGTGTTGTGTATGCTACTACAGTTGTGTTCTTTTGTATAAGCTGCTGTTATAACTGAAACAAATTCCTCTACCCAAACTGGCCCCTTATGCCCGGTGTACTTTATACATACGTAGAAGTTGATTCTGCTACATACAGTATATGACACCCTTGAGGTGTAGCGAAATAAATGTGGTTAATCCAAAATGCTCCGTTACCCTTATCCCTCAAAACATTCAGCGTAGAGGCTTTGAGATTATAAATGTTGGTGATATACAAGATTTTTTGTTTTGCGATCCTACTAGAAGTCACCAAAGCCTTACTGTAATCTCAGACCATAGCTCTTGCATTGTGAAAGTACCATCCGCATGCTCCGTTGCACACAAATCTCATTTAGCTCCATATTTAGTATCAATTAGTCATGAAATGGAGGTCCAGGATATTGGTAATATGTGTGAAGTGTTATCTGTTTTGATTTATGCCTTCCATACATCTGTAAGTCTAGATCTTTTTTTTTTTGGGTGGGGGCTGGATGGACAGTATGTGGAGTTTGGGATTTTATTGCCTTTATTAGTAGCTATACAAATGCTGGGGTACTGTTAATGTATCTTATACCTAAGTAAATGCTTTATTGTAATCCACTTGCAAGATTCTGAACAGTGATCTTTGTTGGGAGGGAATTCAAATATTTATCTGACTGAGTGAGATGTGAAATTCAACAGGCTATAAATATTGTATATAAAGAGTTCACTCTGTGAGTGCGCCTTTGGTAAATTAATTTATTTATATGTTAGCATTAAAAAAGCAATGTATTTAAACTGGGGAAAAAGTAAGATGTATGGGATATAAGGCTTTGCTCTGTAGCTCATAAGTCTTGCCAGTGTTCTCTTCCTGGTGTTTTGAGGATGCTGTTTGATTTGGAAAATTTTGTATAGTTAATAAAAAAACGTCCCGCATGACAGGGGTGGCATATTTTGGCTGCACTTGAGTTCACTTGGGTTTACATTTGAAATGTGCATGTTTATTTATATACAGACTTCAATAAAGTTATGCAAAGCCTTGCTCCTGTGTGTTTGTTTATTTGCTTTTATTTACTTATTCTTTTCCCACAAACCGTAAAGAATCTTTCATTCCAAAAAAAAACCAAAACAAAAAAACGTGGTTTTCTTTAGAAAATCTTGGTTGGTACAGAGGGGTTTCTCTGACGGAAAACCAAATCCATTCTGAGTTTAATTAGCCAGATCACTATTCAAGTATTCAGTATTAAGCATGTATTTTTGCTGACCTTGCATTTATTTAATTTGGTTTAGAAATGTGAAATAGGATTGTCTCATGTTTACCGCTGACCTGATGTACAGTAAAGCAGTACTCATGGTAATCACTTTCCTACTATACATTTCAGAAGCATTTGTTTTTGAAAAGATGGCTGGTTTATTGTTGAATGGTTTGTAATATTGTACCTGGAAAGTACAGTGTGTGTGATAAGTTCCAACGTTGCCTTCCTTTGGACATTCGCATTATGTTGTAACAGGTGATGGTTCGTTCCTGAAAGGTAAAGAAGAGAAACTCAAAGTTTCTGCTGTTGGGCCTTCTTCAGGTGTGAGGGAGAGAGCGGAAAGTAGCAAATGAACTACAATTATCCTTAAACTTGGACTACACCTTTGCCTTTATCTCGACGACAGACGCATCTCTTTCTAAATCCCCTCTATGCATTTGCAGAATGAATGAATGATCTGTTCTCCTCGACTTCATGTGTCCCCTACTGTCCCTCTCTCCCTCGCACCTGAAGAAGGCTCCACAGCTGAAACGCTGTTTTTCTTTTTCTTTCACCATGGAACAAAGCTTTACCTGTTCCTTTACAGCCTACGCATGCTCATGCGGCTCCCTACTGGAAAGTTAGCTTCGCGATGCGCAAGGCAATCTGTGACTTGTATGACTTCAGCCCATACCCAGTACAGATTTTGTTTTTGAGAGACACGGAACCGAGCTTGATTGGCTACTTTCACAGGGATCATTAAAAACAGAAGAGAGGTCCCTGTATGCTCAGTGAAGCTATTAATCTGGGGATTAAACAACAAACATGACTTTTCTGTTATATAAAAAAACAACCTGCTACTGTTTTAGCCAAACCAGTGTCTGAGCTGATGCCCTGAGTTTCCTTCTTTGTTTTGTGTGGGCAGTATTGCACTGAAGCACACACTTCCAGTACAGAGGGCAGCCTTTCGCAGGCTCACCAGATGTGCTGCAGCTGGTCACCCTGAGCTGTGCCTGACCATTGAGTGATGTTCCCAATCGTGGCTATCGCGTTATTCCAGTCTTTTAGTTCCACCTCCTTTTCTGTGAAAGACCATCCGACACGTGGTGAGTGGGGTGCAGACCAGAGCACCTCCCAAACTAATCCGCTCTTTCACTCTGAGTGAGTTAACCAGCGTGGCTGTTGGGACCAAATTAGATCCTAGAGCCGAGAGATGATCTGAAAGCTATCCTGCCTCTTTTGAAAGACATGGACAGCAGTGCAGGTACCCATGGTATTCCTTCATCATATCATGGTGCCACCTCTACTGCGTGTCACTATTAAAATCTTGAGCTTCCGAGTGTTCCATGAGATGCATAGATGGATGGCACTTTCAAGAGCACCTTGATTGTTCTGGCTTAAGGTAAGGCCTGGAAAGGATCTTGAAAAAAGCCTCTTCTCATCCATGACATTCCTGAGGTCAGCGCATTAGGGCACAGGTTGAACTTGAGTTGTTTATGGACAATAAACGCCCTGTACTTCACTAGGTATTTTTAAACTCTTTGCACCTTTTCTTACATGCATATGTATATCTTTTGTTTATGTCACAGTGTCCTGGTGTGGAAAATGCCATTTTGCTTATTCTAAATGGAGGTGGGGAGTGTTGTGCTAATTTGTCTCTCCTCAGACTTTAAAACTTTCTCTGTCTGAGCAGGTGCTAATCTTTTCTCTGCACACAGTGTGAAGAAAATAAGAAGCCATACCAAACAAACTAGCTACAAGACATGTGCTGTTTTACTATTACTTACTATTTTATCCCTCATTATTGATACTAGTATTTAATTATATATTTATCAATTATTTACTCCTTAGATTACTTCAATTAGTTTGACCACATGAGAAATCCAGTTTTACACTGAAAACCATTTTTTAAAAATCCAACAAAATATTAAGGTAATGAATCAATTATCTTTATATTTCAGATAATTAAATATAAATCAAATATCAGCATATTGTCACCTATTCAAGCTTGCTGTGATTGCTTTTTCAGTAAGATTAGGCAGATTAGAAAATAAACAGATTAACCAAATTATCTGAAGTAGTTCATTTGATGGGTATACAACATTTGAATTTCTTGAATACATCTCCTTTGTAATTTCTTCTGTTCAAAACGAAAGAAATTTGATTACTTGCTCTGTATGTGGCTTGTCTCTTTTTCCTCAGAGAGTTACAGCTTTTTTTCCTTGAACTTTTCTAAAACTGTTCTAACTAAAACACTGGACAATTTTAACGCCTTTCTGAGTATGATGTAGTGAGAGCATAAAGATCAATTGGCGAAACAGTTATTAGGGCTGCTGCTCACTGTTCATGGGTCTTCAGTTGGATTCAAGACAATGGTCTATGTGGAGTCTGCATGTTCCTTCCTCCGATTTCCATGGGTGATGGACTGGCATCCCAATCAAGGGGTAGTTCTGACTTACACTCTATTCTTCTGAGACAGGCCCTGGGTTGTCATAACCCTTATCAGGACTGGGCTTTTGTTTTCGTATAATGACTAAACGGATAATTCCTGCTTCGTCTGTTGCGTTATGTTAATACAAAGATGCAGACGATCCCCTTTGGAAGCTGGCTCATTGAGTTATAGATGAATTAACAGTAATAGACAAAAATATATGGTACGGCTTTTTTTCTATCCAAATTTCTGCGGTATGTCAATTTTCATAAGAAAGGGTTCACGTATGCATCTCTACCTAACGTCCCAGTTGCTTATGCGTCCTTAAAGGCACAGTATGTGTGTTGTATCTCCTCACGAAGAGGAAACTATGGATGTCAATACAAGTTGATTGTTAAAGGTGACTGTAACAATAATATTTCTGGCTACGCGTCTACCTTCTAATTTTAACTCGAATATGCACTAAAAGGCGCAACAGTAGGCTGCTCATGGGAAAACTTTTGTGATAGGTAGCGCACCGATTGGCTATTATCACATCCACAACTTATTTGTAATGTATATGTCGTCTCCTCTAGTTGCAGCAGGGGGCGCTGTAATGTTTCCCGTGAGATCCGGCAACTGTTTACGGAAGTGTGTGTGACGTGTCAGTGTGCACTCGGGCATTGTGGGATCGGAACGGCACAGCAAATGGTGGAGGCTGGAGGCAGAGGAAACCCGGGGTTGAAATTTGCCAATACAGCAGCAAACCGGCATCCCGATCTGGCAGGATGGTGGCGGTGACAGCCTGCCGCGTCGCGACTGGATTTTGATGAAAGAAAAGGCGCAAGCTTGCGTCGTCTTTGCTGTCGTGTCGGCTTGGAAGGAGAAAGTGGCACCGTCTATGTCAATGGACGCTGACGTACGAGTGGTACACGCACGGCGATTTTATTTTCACACAAGAGCGAAAAAGTAGGCCGGATCGTGCTGTAGGACTGCGATCGCCTTGTTGTTGTTGTTTTTGTTTTTTTTTGTATCGGGAGGATTTTATACAAGAGGCGCAGCGAAAATGACTACGAGCAGCCCCGAGGCGGTGAAGAAATTACTTGAGAACATGCAGACCGATCTGCGATCGCTGTCAATGGAGTGCAGGAAGAAATTCCCCCCCGTGAAAGAGGTACGAAGAAAATATCACGCGTGGTTGCTGCCTGTTTTTTTTTTTAAATAACACGAAGTGCAATCCATTCAGGGAGGTGGGGTTGGCGTAAGGCATGCGTTTTCGTGTGCCAACGAGCGGTCAGGGTATGCGCTTTGTGTGTGGTATCGAGAGAGGGTGAGTCGGTACCGCCAGCAAATGTAGTGCATTATTTTTTGTTGGTATTTTTGCGATTTGGGTAACCCGAAACAATAGAAAGTAGCCCACCCACCCAAAAAATAAAAAGCGAAGCAACTTTTATTTGCAGCAGGCATGGATCTGTTTACATGGTTATGTGGTATCCTCGGCTGCAACATATCACTTTTTTTTTCTTTAGCAGAGCTCTTGTCAAGTAGCGCAGGTGTTGTCAGAAAGCTTGACAAAAAGTCACCGTGAACAGTCGGCACTTCTGCAGGGAAGGGAAAACCTGTGATATTGCACTCTGTTGAGTGATCTCTGTTGAGATCGCAGCACTGTATACCAGTTTACAGGTTTTTCCTTGCTCAAACCCTGTTTTTTAATCCAGTTTGTAAAATACTCTGCAGCGGCTCTGTCAAAGTTGTACAACTGTACCAACCAAGCCTCGCAGACACGATTCTCACTCAGAAAGCCCATTCTGTGTTAGCCAAATCCATCATATTTCACACCCAGTCATAGTTACAACTTCAGCGTCCAGCGTTAGGTTATTCTGTAACATGCACAGTATGATAGAAATCGTGCCAAGTCAGCTTAGACAAACTCGTAAAGAATAGTCTGTTAACATTTCAAAGAAATCGGAAGCTAAGAAGTGTTCAACTGTAAATGATACTGAGATTTGCGATGTTCTATTAGACGTTTTCTTTTTCTCGTATGAAAAAACTAGGTTAGGAATACGTGGGGTGCTTAAAATGTGTTATTTAATTTTCGAAACTCAGATAAAGAGGTATCACATGCTGAGTAATTAGTGTAAGGGTGTTTTAAAATATTTTTTCCGTGTATTTTGTAATCAATTCTATTATTCTGTGTAGGAGCTTTATCGGATACAATACTGGCTTTTCTAATAGCCTGTGATGACCTCCTTATACAGTGTGTACGTTATCTTTACTGTTCATGACAATAACAAAGACGAAAACAAAAACACCTTGATTGCAAAGCGGAAGTGACAATTGAATGTCTATTTAAAAAAAAAAAAGCCCTGTACCTACAAGTTTTACAGAAACTTAGTGATGGAGTCTGTCTGTTTCTACCACTGTTCTACAACGAAAACCAAATATTCCCCTGGTGTAATTTGCAATTCTTGAACATGCTGTCTTCATCAAAAGGTGTTGCACTCCTTTAACAAAGTAGTCTTTTTGGACTCACCGACCAACCATGTTTTAGCTTAAAAATGAAAAACCGACACAGAGGAATTTCACTTAGTCTACTCATTAAGAATACATTTTCAAATGTGTTTGTTGTACTGAAATCGTGATGTATACAGGATGCTGATATAATTTGCTGTATGTCTGTGTGACGTGCCCTACTCTTCACCCTGATGGTTAGCTGTTGTTAACCAGCACCTTGGTTAGCATGATGACTTCTGTGCATAGAGGGCACGGAGCTGTGTGGTGTGGGAGCCGTCTTCTGGACCGGAGTGTAGTTTCTCTTCCTAAAGTGCTCTTTCCCCCTCAGACGTTATAATAATAATAATAATTGCTTACACTTATATAGCGCTTTTCTGGACACTCCACTCAAAGCGCTTTACAGGTAATGGGGACTCCCCTCCACCACCACCAATGCATCTTAGCTCTGCCAAGTCTGCATTCCACCGAGAAAGAAAGAGTAAAATGAACAAAAAAGTACTTCCCTTCTCCAACTTGCTCTTCTCTTTATTAATGTTTTTTATTGAAATTTCTCTCTTGAGGCAATTTCCCAACTCTTTATCAGTTTAGGTCTGGTAAACGGACCTCAAAATGCAGATTTTATCAGTATGAGACCTAGCAAAGTTCACCATATTCAAGCTAAGGCAAAAGCATGGTTTTAGAGCCCATTGCCCACGAGCACTTTGAGACACCTTCTACATGTATTCTTTTAGTATGCAGTTCTCCTACGTAGTATACAGTATGTTGCCTCTGTGATCAATGCATGGGAATGTTGTTAAGAACTTGCTGGGGTGACAGACCTCTAATGAAAAGTGTTGGCGGCACTCATCTATCATCTATCGTTGGTTTACAAACCAACGCTCCAGTATGGAAGCTGGGCACTATGTGCTGCAGGAGCTGCTGTGCATCAAATGAGTGATTAAATCAAAGTCCTGCCTACTTGACCATTAAAAGATCCCATGGCACTGTTTGAAAGCACAAAGGTGCTAACCTGCATGTCCTGGCTAAATTCCACTCTGCATTTCCTAATAATCTGCATTAATTAATAATAATAGTAATATAGTAATAATGTAATGCTTACACTTATATAGCGCTTTTCTAGACATTCCTCTCAAAACGCTTTACAGGTAATTGGGATCCCCTCCACCACCACCAATGTGCAGCCCCACCTGGATGTCACTGCGGCAGCCATAGTGCACCAGTACTCTCACCACACACCGGTCTCAGTGGGGAGGAGAGCAGAGTAATGAATCCAATTCAGAGATGGGGATTATTAGGATTTTTAATGACCACAGAGAGTCGGGACCTCGGTTTCACATCTCATCCGAAGGACAACGTCTTTTTTCAGTATAATGTCCCCGTCACTATACTGGGGCATTAGGACCCACATGGACCGCAGGGTGAGTGCCCCCTGCTGGCCCCACTAACACCTCTTCTAGCAGCAACCTTAGTTTTTCCCAGGAGGTCTCCCATCCAGGTAGTGACCAGGCTCACACCTGCTGAGCTTCAGTGGGGCTGCCAGTTGTGAGTTGCAGGGTGATATGGTTGCTGGTAGTTGAAAATACTGAAGCAGTTTCTCAATTCTTCACCTGATCTGACGTGCAGTGGGGCTGCTTATGCATAACAGCTGTCGAGTGTCACCCAGGTGTGTGACGCACTTCAGTAATGGATTAAATGGGTCTCCTTTTGTGTTTATATATGTATGACACTCTGGATGCTTTATAAATAGTGTACCCATCCACTTTCTAACTGCTTCATCCCTCTCCTCTGCCCTTTCTTCCTCTAGTTCTTACTGAAGCCTGGAGCTCCTACTATAAATATGCCTTACAGTGTGTGCCAGCCGTATCCCTAGTCATTGGAATGGTCATTTTTAGATTTTGACCGAATATATCAAATGTAATGTTACAGTACATCCATCAATTTTCTACCCAGTTCATGCAATGGGGGAGCTGGAGTCTATCCTGGCAAGCAGTGGGCGCAAGGCAGGGTACACCCTTGACAGGATGCCAGTCCCTCAGAGAGCACACACTCACACTAGGGTACATTTTCTCAGAAGCCACTTAATCTACCAGCATGCCTTTGGACTGTGGGGGGGGGGAACTTGAGCATCCGTGGGGAACATACAAACTCCACACAGATAGCTCCCCAGGTTTGGAATTGAACCCAGAGCCCCAATTCCAGCAGCAGTGCTCACTCTGGGATCCTTTGGGGGTGAAAAGCTGAGCATGGGACACCACACTGATAAACAGAATAATTAACAACATGAATACATTTTCAAACAGTTAAAAGTGGACTGCCTTGTAGTTCACATTAAAGAAGGAAGCCATGCAAAGCTCTTCTGCTCTGGGGACAAACAAAACTGTGAACTTGGCACACCTCAGTTTAATGTGCTCTAACCCACCCGACCAGTTTAAAATACTGTGTGTATTGTGTAATCAAACTCTTCCTGCAGGGTTTACTGTATAACTGGGAGAGATTCAGATTTTCCACCCAGTTCACTTTTTCGCCCTCTGTGGAGTGTGGTTTGTGCTGAAATTGTCTGCTGTATCTCAAGGTTTTGGGCCCTGTGTTACAAAAATGTAAAGGTTATCGCTTTATCGCAAAGGCGTAATTTATGAACAGAGCGAGCGGCTCACTTTAGTCTCCAGTGAGGACTGTTTAATTACTTACAGAGTTTAAAATTACTGTCCCAGGTCTCCATATCCTTAAAACGTTTTCCTTTAAAATGTTGGGTGGTGACGCGCTTTGCTAAAATGGATCTAAAACTGTTCAAACGTGTTGATAGTGCTTTATCATTTCCACATTTGTTCAGAACTGACGCCAACAAACGGTTTTATGATCATTTAAATTAAATCATGTCTCTACCCTTTTTATACATTTCTTCTGCACACTATGTAATTTACGATTTACTTATGGAAGATGTATGGTTTCAGCTATCTTTATTGAATTGGTATGTACAGTAGTTGTTAAAGGATATATAATTTATTGTTATATTGGCGTCTAACGTCGTCATAAATTTTCTTTTCATATATTGTCCAGGTTTACAGTTGTGCACTTTAAAGCACAACTGACAGCACACTTTTTGTGTTTTAAATATGTGGCTCTTACAACAAGGATCATCAGAATAAATTACTTTTGTGAGAAAATAGATAAACTGCCGGCAAGTGGCTCATACTCGGCTCAAAATAAATATCATTTTATTTGCTCTATATCTGATAAATGTAATACTGTCACTCAGTGGAAATGGATTAAACCTAACCAGCCGTTATACAAATTAAAGGTTTGTTCATGCCTTTTTGAATTTTGAATTTCTGTCTTAGTCATGCTTACAGTAATGCTAGTTTTATACTATTTAATGCTGCTGTTGGTGATCTGGTGCTATTTATTTTGGGTTTGTGGTTTTTGTAAGTAATGCCTTTGTTGTCTTCTTAAGGCTACTCTGCTTTCTTAAGCAAAATGCTAATTTTGTGATTGAAGCAGAAATGCAGTTTTCTGCATTCAGTGTCATTGTGGATGCCAAAGGATCACCAGCATCTGACAAAGTAAATTTGAATGAAATGTCTAGTGAGGTATTCAGATTTTACAAAAACAGAATCCGGAAGTCATTGAAACACGTTTTGTAGTTTTTTTAAGGCATAATTG